CACACACACACCACCACCACCTCAGTGCCCCCTTGCCTTCAGTCATTGTCTATTGCTGCAGTCCTGCAGGGGGTAAACGTCAAACTCTCCAAATTGGATGAAACATTATGGGAAATATTATGAGGCAGCCTGCTGGTGTGATGGCTAGGGGCTTCTGGTTAATTGAGTTGTTGCCCGCGCTGCATACTGAACAGGACCCGAGGATGGCAGACGAGTCGGGTGGGACACTGGCTTTTTTTTTTTAAGACATTTTATCTTTATTGGTTAATGTGCAGTCAAGACAGAGAAAGGCCAGATGGAGGAGAAACGGGGAAAAGACAGAGAGAAAAGCAGACTTTCCCAGCATATTTATCTGTACAGTATATCAGTCACCAAATTTTCAGACAAATAGTAAACAGCTGTAACATCAGTGTTATTTTTATCTTGAATATTTTGAATAACTAGAAGAAGGAGGAGGAGTCTATTTACTTTCCCCCAAAACTATTTGATACATTACAATTACACCAAGTTCAAAGTACCCCCACAACTTCAGAGCCGTGCCTCCAAAACTTTCTCTGCTAGTCACTGAATAATTGCGCCTCTTTAAGCCTGACATACAGAAATCTTTTATCCACAATATTAGTCGGAAAAGGAAGACAGAACTGAAATTTTAAAGAGAAGAGGGAAAAAAGCAAAGTGAAGTACTTTTGATCATCGCTGCGACAAGGCTGAGAAGTAACATTTAGTCATTAATGTCAAAGTGGATATATATCCCAGGATTTATATATTAGCATTAAGAGAACCCTATTAGTAATGTGGCTCATCCTTATTCGGGGTCACTGCCAATGAGTAATAATCTTATGCAAATATATTCTGCTGGGGAATTTTCTGATGATTACTATATGCAGATTCAGCCCAGTCTCTTCCGCTGGGCCTGAAATGAGCAAAAAACAGAGATATCCATACATTGTTCATGATTAGACAAAGATAAAGGAAGCTGAACTGCAATATCAAGTTTTACATTATTAAGAAAACATAGTTTCAGTTATACTACTGGCCATAATTTCTTTAAAAGGCTAACTATATATCTGCTCTGTAGTGTATTTACATGAGTGCAAACATTAATACATCTAAATCTGGAATTTCCAGATCTCATCATTGCTCAAGATAGTGATTACAATGTAGATATACTTATAATTCATAGTGCTTATCGTTAATATAAAATTATGCTGATAACTTTCAAGTGTCCACTGATGTGAGCCCATCCTAGTGGTGTTCACAGACTCCTCTAAGACTGTGTGGGAAGTGCGAGTTTCCAGGCGGCTACTTCATCAACATTTCTTGGTGGGTCAGTGTCCTTCGTTGCAGAGCACATCAATTCAGAGGGGACATCGATCACAGCCGCCTCTCGTCACATTGACCAGCTCATTAGCTGGACTTAATATACGCCGAGGGAGCTCTGAGGCCTGCGTGTCAGTCCTGCACTCTGTCGAAAGTCGGCTTGGAAATGTAGACATTTAGGCTACAACTCTTACTGGTACAAGGATGAGAATGATAAAAATGATAAAATGATAGCATGCATGTAATTTATTTGAAATATAATCCTATTTCAGGATGTGATTCTTTTTATCTCTAATCATTGTTCTCTAATCAGGTTGAAAAGAGGTATATGATGTTTAAAATTCTGACAAATAAAACCATACATGGTAATTTTTGCCAATCCAACATCCTCAGATATTACACTTATGTCATGATTTACATCCAATACTAATGTTCAGTATCATTGCAGGGACATGTGTGCCCTGTATGTAACGAAGTAGACAAAAGAGTCATGTGTGGTAGACACAAGACCAAAGTTTGCACCTTGCCAGAAAGCTGCAATTAACGTTTCCTTTTTTTTTTTAATCAGCTATGCGCACATATACAAAGACCCCGGTTTCATGTCTCTGTCAATGTAAATGCACAGAAATGGGCATACTTACAACAAAAAGATAACAATGGCAACAAGCTTGAGAGGGTTAACAACACTATTATCCGCAAACAACCATTTTTTCCTAACCATAACTAAGTGTTTTAGTTGCACTTATAGGTTATTAACATATCACTCCATACCTTTACCATTACAGTAGCTGCCATGCACAGGTAAAATAATATTAATAATAAACTTATTTACTATAAAAAAGCGCAAGAACAACATACACAGAAAACACTGACATTTTAACAAGTGGTCAAACATACAGAGATAAAGAAATTCCTATACAAATGTCAGTCTGTACAGGTGTGTTTTAAAACCCTTTTTAAACTGTATTGTAGAAAGCATGATTTTAATTGTTTTTAAATGATGGCCCAAAGTGAAGCTAGCAATTAGAGAAGAGAAAGTGAAACTGTTGAGGATTGGCAGAATTGCTTTGAGTTCTCAAGTGAAATTCTTGAAGATTAAAAGGCCAAGTAAAAATGTTTTCATTATGGTCATAAACAGTATTTACCATTTTAATCACCTCAGAAAGTTGTGTGTGTATCATGGCTTTCTATGTTAAAACAATGCTTCCACCCACTGATGTAAACATCCACTCCAGAGCAAACCAGAGTGCCCCAGCTGACTGCTGGCCTTGTCAGCTTGGCCCACTCACAGATGAGGGCCACATTGTGCCTATTGTCTGACTAAATGGTGGCTACAGAGAGGAGAAAAGGGGGAAACTTGTGTAAACAAGCTACAGCTTTAGCATCTCAATGTCACTGCATGGGTGTCTGGTGCTAAGCAATGCTTTGTGCCTGTTGGCATCATGCATTCCTGCCTGGGCAAACTTTGGACACAATCCTGCCTACTGGGCCTCTCGACTTCTTCTGAGGATTTGGAAATAAATTGCAACAATTTATATCAAAAGAGGTAGATAGTAAAAGTCAGAGGAAAAATGATGTCACATAAAACTTCCTCGGGTGTTATTCATCAGGGAAACCGAGCAGAAATAAACCACTGCAAAGTGTATTGAACTCTCGGTGCCCAGAGCAGCTGACTGTGTCGACCCTGTGAGTTGTTTACCTGACTGGAGGCTACCACATGGAAGGACATTCAGAGTATTCCAGGGGGATTTTACCATCACTATAGTGCCCCATTTGCTTCCTTTCTTCCCTTTTATTTGTATCTGTTAGGCTGCTGTCATGTTGTGTTTTGCATTGAGCAGTTGGAGGCACAGATAACAATTTTGCTGCTGCTTGATAAGACTGTTTCACTTTTAGTGCTGTTAGCTATTCTTTGGGTTTTGATCACAAAGACCATGACAACTGTGAAGTCAATGTGAACACACAAATGTATACACACTGACCTCTGTGTGTCCTCTGTGTTTACCTTTGCAGACAGTCAAATTTTAAAAGGCACAGGGCTCTTCTGTCTCTAATCATTACTAGCTAAAGACATTCCTTTATTAGTGTCTAGTTTTGTAATGCTGCCAAATAACACTTTATTGCCCTTTAATTAAATATTAATGGCAGTGTCATTACATCTTCATTCATAATTAAAGAGCTACCAACGACTGATATTGCATATTAATGTAATTAAACATCAGTACAGTGTGTGTTTGTGTCAGAGCGTTCTGGTGCAGTTGTGTGATGAGGGTAGCTTTTGATTTAAACAACAGAAATGATGATTTTTGTTTACAATGCATCAATAAACGATTTTTTTTTTCAAACCTTTGAAAAAATATTTTTTATAGGATCCCAGTAAAACTGCAGTGTTGCTTTCCCATTTACCCAATTCCCATTCACACTCCAGACAATACTGTCCACATTCAAAGCTTCAGAATGCAACCCCTGTATTACATTTTTAAAGAGATAACAGCGCTATTCTCCACCTTTCACCCTCCTCCCCCCAACCCCAACAGATCAATGCCCCATTAGGAACTGAGGGATAAAAAAAGAGGCTCCATTCCAGCTAAACTGACCCCCCACTGTAGTTGTAGATTACAGGACCTGCCCCCCTCCCCCCAGTCACCCTGACTTCATGACTCCCTAAGATGCGCTTGGTAGTAATAACGCATGATAACAAGGCTGCTTTTGTTGTTAATTTGGTAAACAGGAAGTTTCTGCCCTGGAAGCTAACGTGAAGACGGACACCAGCAGCAGGAGCAGAAGCCATCTTTAAATCCCCTTTGGTGGTGTGACCCCTGACCCAGCCTCAGAGAAGGTCAGACAAAACTTATCTCTCAATGAATAAACTGGTGCCTCTTTTAAAGTCACCATGTTAATGATTGCCTGCAGCTCATGCCTTGGCATTCTCAAACAAAGTAGTACATGTGTTGATTTTTAATAATTCAGCCTTGTTAGAGTGGAGGTCTTATTTTGTAGTTCTTTTTGTTATTATAATACTGTACTCCGAAGTGATTTGTGAGTTATGACAGCATGGTGATATCCCTACAACAAAGTCTGTCAGACAGCGGAAGAAACAAGTGTTCAGATCATTAGACAGGTTGTAAGTGAGCCAAACACTTTACAGAGTTATTTGAAGATTAAACCAAAAGTGAGGACACAAGTGTCAGTTATAAACCCTGTTACCTATCAAAATAATGGCAACACAACAAAGTTACCACCAAAGTTGTGAAAAAAATTCCACAAAACAGACAACCAAGACTAAATGAAAAGAGAATATATAGGTAAATTTTATTCTGAATTCAAAATCTATGTATCTGAGTATAATAATAAGCTAAGTATACTTAGCTTATTTGAAAGATTTAGCAAATGTCCAGAAAACATTTTAATATGAATATACAACCACTTCTTTTCATGTGATCGATGTTCCACACTTCAAAGCTCATGAAAAGCTAGTAATTTGACCTTTGAGTTGATATATAAGATCATACTTGTTGTACTTAAAGTTCAGTAAATTGTAGTTAGCAAAATACTGACAATGTGCTGAATTCCTACACAATCCTACCTCTAACCCAACACACATATACTTGCTGTCAGAAGGGTCAGATGTGATGTAGAAGTGTCTTACAAAGAAGACACAAACAGAGTCAGACCTGGGGATCAACACTGCAACTCTGCAGTCAACCAACCAACAAGCCACCCTGCTGCCTCATCAATTATGCAGAATCCAACGTCTTCATGTAAACCAAGAGAGGAAAGCAGAGGAGATGAGCGAATGTTTTCCACACGGTAATGAAAGTCAAATTCACCCGGGTGCCTGGAAGCACTACACAGGCTGCAGCCATTAAAAGTCAATCGGGGTGTCTGCTGCGTAAACAAATATCTATGATTATTCCAACCTGCCATCCTCCGACAGCATTAAAACATCCTTCAATTAGGCAGCGCTGCAACATACTCAGAACCAAACAAAACTCTCTCTCCACCTCTCTGTCACGTATCATTACTCCCACCATGCCGCTTCTGCTCCCTCGCTCTCTGCACACCTTTCACTCATCACGATGTGTCAACTGTTTGCAGGAGAGGCAGCAAAGATGGCAAGCTCTTTGACCCAGACCGAGATGGCAATGGTGCACAAGACACACAGCCTTCATTGTTTGTTGGCTGGATCAATCAGAAAACACCTTAGGGCCTTTTTTTGAACTTTGGCCACACAGCTGGATGAGTAGGGTCTGACACAGAGGGTCAAAAGACAAGACTGTGAGGATAATAGATGGGACATTTTTTGAGCAAACCTAACTCTCTCTCTCTTATTTCTTGTCTATCTCTGTCTTTCTCTGGTTTTATATGTCACATTTTAGCTGTGTAGCTGGTATGACAAACTGGTATGTATTTCCTTCACCATAACCAAACTTTAAGATAAAGTTACACCGTTTAAGAGCTAAAAGTGTCACCAAACTCTTAAAAGATCAGTGTGTAAGTAGATTGCAACTAACTGAACACTGCAGTGTGTAGAAGAAACCACGGTGGCCCCCAAAACTCATGAAAAAGGCCCTATCTACAGCCAGTGTTTGGTTTTTAAATTCTACTACTGTAGAAACAGGGCAATTCAACATGGTGGACTCTATGGAAGCGACCTGTTGCGTCTGTAGATGAAAACGGCTCATTCTAAGATAACAGAAACACAATGATTCATATATTTGATGATTATACACTAATAAAAACATACCTATGAATATTATATCACCTTTCTGCCAATAGATCCTCCCAAATGTTACACACTGGACCTTTAAGAAATGTGGCTATGATTCGGACTTTAGGGAGTTCAGCAGGTGGAAACTATTGCCCTTAACTTTTTTTCCAAAGAATGTATTTGATATGTTGTATTAGCAAACATGAAAAGTATAAAATAATTCTTGATGTTTTTATTAATTTATCATCTCAGTGCGTAAAAAGATTTTTCCATCTTATTAGCAGAGAAATCATGTGGATAGTCACAAAGTAAATTTGCTTGGTCCTTGTTATTGTATCTATCCGTAAAGTGTGATAAATTCATGTATAGTTAGTTTTTCACCCAGTTTTAAAATGTAATGGGGGTAATAGGAACTGTTAATGCCAAGTGTAAATGCAGGCAGAAAACATTCTGACTGGAATGGGTTTAAATCAGCCAGACATCTTGATTGGATTGGGTACCATTATCCAGATATATCCAGGTACAGAACACATGTATAAATGGGGCCTCTGATCGGATTATGACCACACCAATGCTGCACTTAATCACTTTGAGTAACTATTACATTTGGCCATGTTACCTGACAATGTGTGACACTATGCTTGGACAGAAAGTTCCATATTGCAGCTTTAAGCTTTTAAGATACACAAACATGAAAGGCTCCAAGCATTTCAATTTGTCTTTGTGACTCTATCGCCACTCTAAGCATATCAGGTCTGAAATTTAGTGTCACAATTGAGGCTTTTCTCCCTCTGATATCAATGCACTAATTTAATCTTAAACTAATTAGATTATGTTGATTTATATACTTTGAGGAACATGTGACAAGCCCACAGGGATACAAGCCTCGCCTTAACTCAGGCCTATGTTTCTGTCAGTGCCAAAGACAAGGCTAACACTAACCTAATTGATTATCATATGAAACTGTTCAGCCCATGTGGTTGGATTTAACACGAGTTCAAATTCAATATATTTGGTATTTTCTCAAGAAATAAGTCTGTTCAAAGTAAAATCACATCTTTAAGTGCCACCACTTCAATGAGCAGCAATCCCAAGCTGGAGAGGCTTGCAGCCTTATGTAGGCCAATTTCAGCCGAAGAGGAGCCATTGTGTGACTCACAGGCTGCTTCAGTCTTGTCACTTAAAGAAGAAAAAAGCAGGAGTTCCTGCCACCGGAGGTTTAACGTGAAGCATGCTTATTTCAAAATAAGCTAATTTGCTAGAAGCACCACATCATGTAAAAACGTTGCGCTCATAATTATAAGCAAAAACAGCTGTTGTTATAACAGAATATATATAATTCTTTAGCATCTTTTCGATGAAACTTTGAATGCACAATTCTCCTCTAGATACTGAAGGGGTGAAAAACACTGCTGCTGGGGCGCCTCTGTTGTCTTGATTACATAAACAGTCAGTCTGGGTATTTTAGCACTTGCAGTGTGCATTTTAGCACAAGGAGGAGAGAACAAGCAATATATTGTGTTGTTTCCAGTGTGGACCAGAATGACCAGGTTTTATTGGCTTTGGATGATCAGATTTGAATATACCCAATTACCCCAACATCAAAACAAATACTCAGATGACTGAAAGTTCTGGAAATGCTGGGGTCATCTGGATTGATATGGATGTCATCGGACCATCCACAAAACTGAAAAAGAATCTTGAACTGCATGACCTGCTGCAACTTCTGTATTTATTATTTTATATTGCATTTATTAACTTTATTATTTCATTGATTCAGTTATTGCATTACTGACTCCATTTATGAAAAGGTGTTTTTCAAAGAGATCCAGCAGCAGCAACAGCCGCATCCTCTGTCAACATAAATATAGGCACATTAAGAGCAGTAATGCATTGGACTTCATCCAAAACATTAAGCCAAAGAACAGTAAATCATATAGTCTAACTTAATAATAAGTCAGCTGAAAAGGAGGAAGAAGTATCTGAGGACATCCGATAAAAGCCACATGCTTCTCATCTAAGTATTTTGACAGCAGAGAAATAATTATAAAATGAAGTCAGTGTATATATTTTGTTGGTTATTCAGAAACACACACAGCTGCTAAGAGAAATAGCTGGTATAAACCCATCCTCCTCTAGAGATACACGTCATAATGGTTATGCATCAGACCACACACAACCTTCTTTCACACTTGAGGCAGAATCCAATTGTAGACTGAGTGTGTTAGTTCAAATCCAAACTCGTATTAAGTCTCATGTCATCAGAATTATCATGTTTCAAGAGCCAAAGTACCACAGCCGAACTCTTGAGTGTGTTTTTTTTGCCAAGTGTGTGTGTACATGTGTGTGTGTGTGTGTGGGACTGATGCGACTCAGCTGTGCACAAATAGATGCACTTCCAGCCGAGACTCTTGACAGTCATTGTATCTGCTAAAAACAGCTGAGCCTTTGTTGGTAGATTAACACCACTGCCTAAATGCCTTATTTAAACAGTCCTTTGGATAACGAATCACCAAGGTGCATAGGAGCTATACATTAATTTGCAACTTGGGCCCCGTGCCAGAGTGGTTTGACAGAGTAGCTAAACATTTCACAGTGGATGAGAGTGCTAAATGCATTGTGACAGCCAGCAGTGTGTTTTGTTTCTTACAGTGCATACAGAGGAAAACAGAGACACACACATATTGTATACAGTGACACATGTGCATAGACACCTGTGGTACGCACACCCACACACACACACCTGTGCAGTCCCACACTCATCTTCTGCTCTCTTTCTCTTTGTCTGTGGAGAAATTACAGAGAAGACAATGAAAAATGTGAGGTGTTCAGAGTAATATTAGATTAAGCTAATCGAATTTGAGGAAAAATTGTTGCAGAACATCATGGGAAAACATATCTATTATGGAGACATATTAGCAGTTCAGTTTGTCTGCGCTTTTGCTCATTGCTTTTCTTTCTTTCTTTCTGTCTTTCTGTCTTTCTTTGCCTCTCTGTATTCTCAAACAACCCCACTTTAAAGTTGACACACTGCGCATTTAATATCCAAAACCTGATGTATGGTCAAATTATTCCAAAGGTCACAGACTGGGCAAGGTTCCAAATTTTACATATCTCTGCATTCTTTGTGCAAAATAGATTTTTTTTTATAACTCAATAAACTTGTTTAGAGGTAACAGGCCTTTATGGTAATTGAATAACTAAACAGGATGCTTCAGTGCTACTACAACAATCTCCACCCAGCCGAGGGCAAGAGGCTCATTTTGATTGGCAGCAAGGGTACTCCCTATCTATTAGTGCATTCAAGACAAGCGGGAAATGGAAAGTTTCTGACCTACAAGCAATAAGTATCAACACAGAGGGGACTGTGTTGTGAAGAGTAGCAGTACAGGAAGCTGAAAATTGTGCTGAGCTGCACTTCTGGCTCCCATGACCTTGACCTCTTCTCAGGTCAGTTACTTCTCACGTCTCAGCTACAATGAATAAACCTTTAACTATGTGGGATGAGAGCACATGTAGGTATTTTTCCAGGTACAAGTTTATGATCACATCTGCTTCCTGTGTTATAGTATATGGTCAGACCATGATTTGTGCTAGTTTCAATTAAGTAAAATCTTAATGCTATAGCCTACAATCATATTTTATACAGGTGTGAAGCTGCACAAAGAAATGGTTTTCCTAGTATGGTGTAGAAGAACTCAACAGGCCTGCGCAGAGCCCTGACCTCAACCACACCCAATACCTTTGAAATGAACTGTGAGCCAGGACTTAACTCTCGACATCAGTGTTCCACCTCACCAATGCTCTTGTGGTTGAATGGGAGCAAATCCCTGCCGCCAGGAAAGCCAGGAAAGCATTCCCAGAAGAAGATGAGATCAACAATCACATATGGATATAATGCTTTGGTGGCCTTATAAAACTGGTTAAAACAGCATTGAAGGTTTAGCTCATGGCAGCAGTAAGATCACCTCCTTCCTCTGTCTCTCTCTGCTAAACATTATCTTATCTTATTAAAAAGAAATAATTACTAATTGCTAATTATATTGTTGTTTTTTGCTTTTACTTTCTTTTCTGTTTATTTCCAGTGACTTTGAACTATTTATATTCACATTTGGCTCTGAATGCCTCTTTAAACACATGACTAAGAAAAACAAAAATGTTCTTTTAACTACCTTAAGGCAAACTGGTAATTCTTTGATTTATCATCTCTCTATTGCAAACAGGCCTCATTCATTCACAGTTTGCCTGTGTGCAGTTTACAAAGATAAACAACTTCAGTGTCAGAAGACTGTTTCAGAAAAATTCCCAAACAGACAAGGCCTGCATTTCAAAAAGGCTTGATTAACACATAAGTGGGCTCAACATTTGCAATAACACTGCTAATCTATGCAAACTTTCTTTAGCCTTTTTGCAACATTGAATGCCTGACCGGCCGTGCAAAGGCGTATGGTAAAATATACTCTGTAAAAATCTGACAAAGGCTGACTTCTCTTCCGGCCAACAAAGGATTCCAAGTTTCGCCATCCTGCCCAGCTGCCTAGAATAGACAACACAGCCTCTTTTGTCAGGGTGAGTCAATCTGTGTGGGTGTGAATGCATTAGCCCTTCACAACAGAATTATGCCCCTCGACTCCCCCGCTTTGCTTTCAAATATTCTGTGATAGGTTCCCGCGGTCATGTTTAGATCACTTCCGGGCGATGATTTGCCATAAGAGAAGATGAATGGTGACCATTGAGATGCTGAATAATTATACTTGGACCTGCGAGTTGGGGAACACATAACCCTCAGAGGGCAACATGACAAACATGTTTTTCGGGGGCCTGGTGACAAAGAGCATGTTTTGATGTGACTGGGCATGTTCCCTGAATTGAGTCATGCGACAGGGTTATCGCTGTGGTGCGTGGGCCTTCAGTTGCTCTGTTTGTCCATTTCTGCACTTTGCTTTTCACAGTCTGACTAATAGATTTATGCGTCTGTGTGTGTGTGCGTGAGCGTGTATATGTATGTGTGGGAGTTGATACTGGCATGCATATGCTCATGTGTGGCAGTATAGTGTATGCATCTGTGTGTGTGTGTCACTGCAGCCTGGGGAAAGGAATGGACCACAGCAGCAGACGACCACTCACACAGAGGCAGACCTCTCTGAAGTCATCGTTTCCAACAGCAAGCAGACCACTGGTCATTATCACGCACATGCAGCATCTGTGCAAATGTGAGTTCTCATGAAGGCCCATTGAGTACTAAACACAATTAATTCGTTCAGAACAGCCAGCAGGACTTAATGATCTGTTCTTTTGTCCAACACAACCCAGAATCCCTTGGATATATTAAATGAATCTGCAGTGCACAATTCATGTTGATTTACACAGTTTAAAGGGACATTCTGGTATTTGTCAACCTGAGTATCATTATCATGTTTTAATCGAACAAATTACACACGCTGTAGAGATAAGAGAACTGCTGACTCCTGCAAAGATTACTTTTGATTGGGGCAAGCAGTGCAAGCCTACAGCTTTCCAAAAAGCTTCAGTGCAACAGAAATAACCTCAAACCCTTGTCTCCCCTTGACATCAATGGAGCTGCAGCCCTGTAGCAATCTGCATACCAAAGCAAGAGGCTTGTGCTTGTGCTGGAAAATCTATACAATGGACGTGGTAATTAAAATGTTATCATGACCAATGGACATACATACAAAAATATGAGAACACCCAGGTTGACAAAAAAAAAATATTTATCCATTATTGACAGCAGGATTTAGGCAGCAAAAGGAACATAAAGGTGTATGGATTCTAAGTTAAGTCTATTACTATCTATTATTATTATTATTAGTCATAACTTTAAACTGTTATGTTTATATATACAAAAATAACAATATTCATTGCTCCTCCTCTGTTAATATATTCTCTTTTCATAAAGTACATGGATAAAATTCATAGGATCAGCAGCCCTTGAATATATTTCCAAATCAACCCCTCCCCAGCACGCACGTACACACACACAGTCCCTGGCCTGCTGCATTCATACACACACGCAGACACACACCTTACACACATACGTCGCACATGCACAGCTTGGCCCATTAGTGGTGACATGTGACGTTTCGATGGGGCAAATGAAGCTCAACAATTGATGTCAGAGCCTTACAAATTAAACAAATGGGGGACCGCCATGGTGTATTAGGCACCCCAAACCCCCTGATGAATACAGCCAAGGCACATGCCAGCAGGACAACATTGTCTCGCTCTCCTCTCCTCCCCTAAACAAGGCTCAGAGAATGAGGGAGGCACACACACTAATACACACACACTACAGTCAGTCAATGAGCAAAATTAAACTAACCATGCATTGATTGCCAATTGAGTCCTTTGACAAGCAAATAAACAGCACTGATTCTGGGGATCAATATGATTGATATGTCATTTGGTCTTTCATGTAGCATCTCGCTGCAGTGCATGTATACAGATTGTG